CCCCAAAACCCCAAAACCCCAAAACCCCAAAACCCCTGAAAAATATGCATACATTGAACTACTCTTTAGAAATTTATCTTTTACTCTACTTTTTTGATAAAATGTCTTAGAATCGAACTTGGAGTCTCTCTGGAGTAACTCCATGATTCTCAGAATCTGCTCTTCTTTATATGGCATGCATATCACTTCTACTCCCATTGGGAGACCTTTGGAATCTTTCATAGATTCAGCACAAGCTTTGGAGATGTTGTCATTAAATTTTTCATCTTTGTATTCTTGTTCGTCTTCTCTAACAGTAGTGATTGGAACAGAACCAGCAGGGAATCCCCAAAAAGGAGCCAACCTATAAGCACCTGACATCAATAGAACTTGGTCACAAAGTTTGCTTTTAACAGCCGGAATTGGGAAAGAAGGAACTATCAAAGCATCAAGTCCAAGTTCTTTCCATTTCTGAATTGTCTTCTCTACTGTTTGCTGCTTTTGCATTGTAAAATCCATGATATCTTGCGCACTTGGCTGTATTAAATCTTTCATTGATAATAAAGTCCTCTTTCCTTTACAGAATGAAAAGAGAAAGTCAGCAATTTTGAGGACCAAGGTTGGAACATGATTAAATATAACACTGAGGATAACAGCAGGACCTACATAATCTTTAGATTTAAATAACTTGTTTTTGAGAGGGACTCCAGCCATATATATAGCGTTACGGTGCACCATGTGAGATTGCTCATCGGTGTTCTCTACTAGGTCAACATTAACAACTTCATGATCATTATCTTCAAGGATTTGGGAGGCAATCTCTATAGATCTTTCAGCAGTTTTTGAAAGAGTTGATATCTTCTCAACATCGTTTAAAATTCCGATCTTTAATTTGCCAGTGCTTGAATGAAGAGCTTTGTTAAAAGGAACTTTAGGGTATCTTCTATATTCTTCATAAACATCCTCTGAGAACATAATTTTAGCTACTATTGTGAGATCACTTGCATTTCGGGTCAAAGGACCAATTGCATATGGAAGAAGCTCGAAATTTTGAATATTATCTTGCAGATAAGTCTCAGCTCTTTTGGCACTCATTCTCTTGAAAGTTGGAAAAAGAGTGTAAATTCCTCAGAACAATGCAGGAATTCTGAGACTTCCAAGACAGTCAGATCCAATGGAGAAAGGAATTCATCCAGATGCAACGAGGGCTGCATCACCTCCACTAGACCCACCACAAGTTCTGGTATTGTCCCATGGGTTCTTAGCTTCACCCCACACAAGGTTAGTGGTATGATGGGTAAGATTACCTTCTGATCAATTTCCTTTAACAAGAGGAATCGCTCCCTCCTTTCTTAAAGCCTGTACAATATAAGAATCCTTATTTTTAATATTATCAGTCATCGAGCTGACTCCTCATGAAGAAATAGTTCCTTCTACCCAGATATGGTCTTTTACTGAAAAGGGGATTCCATGAAGTTTGCCAAGGACATTTTTAGGATTCTTCCCTTGGTCAAGAATATCTTTCAATTGCTTATCTTTTTCTTTTGCATCTGAGAGAGCTCTCTCAAACATCTCATCAGCAGTGTAGTTGTGCTTCCTTCCAATTGTGTAACATCTATTGGCATAAGTATTTACGATATCTGTAGCTGTAAATCTTCTACTAAATTGGCCATCTAGAAGATCTTGAATGGTAGATCACTCCAAGACAGCTTGGTTTTCAGGAGGGAAATCATAAGTTTTACTGTCTCTCTCTTTCTTAATCCTCTGTCCTTTGTAGTAATTTTCTCTTGCTCAATAGAAGAAGTGGACCCAATAGAGAGCCTTGTACCCAAGATATAGTAGGAACAAGTACCATAATATTTGAGATATGCTCATTTTGATTTACTAAATTTTATAGAAATTGGGGTTTTGGGGTTTTGGGGTTTTGGGG